TTGTTTTTGTGAAAAGTGGGGACTCTCCATAGGTGTAATGGTTTTTATACTGTACAGACCGTATATTCTATTGCCCTACACCAACCCTACCCCTAAACCTACCCCTCACAGGAGACTTTCTGCATTTTTAGATTTTCAAAAAACTTCATTCTGTATGATTTATAAGCTTTTGTACCCGTGGGGACCACAATTTAGGTCCCCACCATGACATGAGTCCCCATGAGTTTGTGTGTATTCAGGTTTAAGTCCCCACCAGAATATATAAACCAGTACACACACACACACGTGTCTCATCTCTGTCTGTTCTCTGCTGGGTTTAGGTCTGGTGGGGAAGCTGAATCCACTGAATAAGGTGGATCTGACCAACCCTGAGCTCTCCATCATCATCGAGATCATCAAGGCGGTCTGCTGTGTCAGCGTCCTCAAGGACTACACGCTCTTCCGCAAGTACAACCTGCAGGAAGTGGCCAAGGAGCCCACCAATCAGAGCACGGGCCCGCAGAACGCAACCAATCAGAACACAGGCCCGCAGGAGGCAGTCCATCAAACGCAGGAACACGGGGAGGGAGAGAAAGTGGATGGGAGCGCAGAGAGCTGCGACATAACCGCTGGCAACGGGACGAAGGAGGCGGAGCTTGAGTGAACGTGTGTCACATGACTGTGGCTGTGTTTTTAAAACCATTTCTACAAAGTTTGTGTGTTATGTTCAGGCTTTTGTTTTTACTTCTATATGTTGGGTGATATTAACAGTTTCTGTTCATTGTACGGGACTCTTGTGTCATTTTGGACACATTTTCCTCTGAAAAGAAGAAATCCAATTAAACAACTAAAATCCCATGTGTTTGTCAGTAGTAATGTGTTTTAAATATTTCGGGTGAGATTGAGTCGTGAAATCCAAGCGATTCTTCTGTCTGTGGAATATGAAGAGAAGGATTCAAATCCCAGATTTTTCATTATATAAAAGTAGGCTTTCAAAGACACAGTTCCCCTTCATTATTACTGACAGATCCTGAGAAATGCTCCTGAATTGACTGATTCTGAAACACTGATTCTGGTTTTGTGTGTACTGCAGCTGAAGAGTGGTTATAGAGTGCTGAGTCCTGGTGTCTCGGCGGGCGTCTCGGGTTAAAGGTCACAGCGCTGTGAAACAATAGTGATTAGCCATACGTGTCGCTCTCTGGAGACGACTAGCCTTCACCGTGACCTTTCCTGATCGCAGGAGACGGGGTCACAGCGGGAGAGAGCAGTCACACAGCAGAGCTTCATTCCAGAACAATATCTGCAGGAGCGTTCAGAGGCGTTTCACACTGCTGCACTGTCACCTGTGTTACCTACACATCTGTAAAGTTTTATATACATCTTAATCTTTCATTGCCATATTTCAGAGACAAAATGTACTTAGAAGTGGGAGAAACTTGAGATAACTTGAAACCTGAGAAAACCTCACTTTGGGAACATTCTCATAATAAAGTTTTAAAAAACTAAGTTTTCTGTTAGGTTTGGTGTGTAGGTTAGTATTTATAACTAGCTGTATATAAAAACAGAAGTCTAATAGGATGTGTGTGTCTGTGAGTTCCTGTGTGAGTGTGTGTGTCTGTGAGTGTGTGTGTTTGTACTTGTGATCAGTTGGTGAGATGCGGTGAGATATGGGTGAGATGTGGGTGGATGAGATGTGGGTGAGATGCAGTGAGATGTGGGTGAGATGCGGTGAGATGCGGGTGAGATGCGGATGAGATGCGGGTGAGATGCGGGTGAGATGCGGTGAGATGCGGTGTGATGCGGGTGAGATGCGGTGTGATGCGGGTGAGATGCGGTGTGATGTGGGTGAGATGCGGTGTGATGTGGGTGAGATGCGGGTGAGATGCGGTGAGATGCGGGTGAGATGCGGTGAGATGCGGTGTGATGCGGGTGAGATGCGGTGGAGATGTGGGTGAGATGCGAGTGAGATGTGGTGAGATATGGGTGAGATGTGGGTGGGTGAGATGCGGTGAAATGCGAGTGAGATGCGTGTGTGATGCGGGTGAGATGTGGGTGAGATATGGGTGAGATGTGGGTGGGTGAGATGCGGTGAGATGCAGGTGAGATGCGAGTGAGATGCGGGTGAGATGCGGGTGAGATGCAGTGAGATGTGGGTGAGATGCGTGTGTGATGCGTGTGTGATGCGGGTGAGATGCGGGTGAGATGCGTGTGAGATGCGGTGTGATGCGGGTGAGATGCGGGTGAGATGCTGTGAGATGTGGGTGAGATGCGAGTGAGATGCACTGTGATGTGGGTGAGATGCGAGTGAGATGCGTGTGAGATGCGGTGTGATGCGGGAGAGATGCGGGTGAGATGCTGTGAGATGTGGGTGAGATGAGAGTGAGATGCAGTGTGATGTGGGTGAGATGCGGGTGAGATGCGGTGAGATGCGGGTGAGATGCGAGTGAGATGTGGTGAGATATGGGTGAGATGTGGGTGGGTGAGATGCTGCAGCTGTAGTGCTGAAGTAAACAGATGTCTGAAATAGAAACTAAGCACTTTATCTAGTTCAGAGCTGTTGTGAAGATGAAGAACAATTGTGTGTACCATCTAGCATTAATATAATTAGTATTGTTATTAATTATGTTGTTTGCAGGTCATATTGACCCCCAAAAATAGTAAATAGCAACACAATTATGATGTACATTAAGTTGTAATCACTGTATGCATCATATTATTAATTAATATTATAAAATAAAAATGAAGTCCAGTAGATGTTTTTAGAAGTGAGTGTGTGTGTGTGTGTGTGTGTGTGTGTGTGTGTGGGTGTGT